CGACGCAACCGCCTTGCGAGGCGTGGGGGCGTCGATTTCTCCGGGTAACATTTCCGCACGATATTCGGATTCCTTGGGCCTCGGCGCCATCGCTGCGCGCTGTCCGGGCCCTCTTGCTATCTCCTGCGCGCTTCACATTTAAATCTTGTCTCCGCGCTCAGCTCCTCGTCGCACAAATCCGTGCGGGCGGTGCGTTCGCCTCGTTAATTAGTTTTACTGGAAGTGCGTGAAAGAATCATCATGAGAGTGGGTGGGGCTTGAGCAAGAAGCGCACGTGGTGTACGGTGCATTCACTTCAAGATTGTAGTCGATTTGTAAGCAGCCAGATGGGGTTCGACTCCCCGCGTCTGCATAATGCGGTCCAAGCTGTTTTTTACTCGAAGGCATCTAATCGCTGAGATACATGGAGAGGTAAAAGGAAGGGAGGAAGTGGACGTAGTGCACGGTACACCGCTGCCCTAACTTAAGCGCCTTACCTGTTGCGAGCAGTTGCACGGGGTTCGACTCCGCGCGTCCGCGTACTTCAATCTGCGTTAGCCATTTTTTATCCCGCTCGGCGCAAAATTATCGAGACCAGGAATAGCGGAATGAGGGTGGAATGGAGGAATTAATCGGACGTGGTGCACGCTACACTTCTGCATTCGAATTCTTTAATAGGCCTTGGTTGTGGTTGCAAGCAGTTGTGTGGGGTCCAACTCTCAGCGTCCGTCTCATCGTTTCTTCCAAGCCTTTTTTTCGCCCAAGGGTTTTCAAAGCCTGCACTGGCATTTATGAGAGGGGACTAGATAAAGGAAGCGGACATAGTGTACGGCGCACAACTGACCCCTGTCTTCACCTCACTTCAACGGCTGTCACCGATTTGTTAGCAGCCAGACGGGGTTCCACTCACACCGGAAAATGAGATGCTTCAGAGCACCTCAAAACGTTTCCGAAACTGAAAGATTCAGCAAGTAAATAAGCAAGGAATAATCTGTATCTGAAACAATAGGTTTCGGCCACCATTTCAGCTGACTTACCTAAACAATAAGCTTCAGCTGTTCTGAAAGCGCTTCTTTTTCCGCTTTCAGGCTATCTGAAACTTATTGTTTCAGCAACTGCAGCTGAAATGGTTTCTGAAACCTATTATTTCAGGTACATTTTCAGCTCTGCTGATTTTGCTACATAAACTACTGATATCGGAAATGTTTTGAGATGCACTTAAACAACTCATTTTGCCGTGTGACTCCCCGCGTCCGCATTCTGGAGTTCGTCGCAACCTTTTTTTTGTTTAAAGGTTTGCAACAGGCTGTATATATTCAGGTTCGGAATGAATTAAGCAGGTGTGGTGTGCTGCGCACCTCTATATCTGCCTTCATATCAACAGCCGGAACGGATTTACTAACGACCAGACGGGGTTCGACTCTCAGCGTCCGCATCGCCGATTTCTGCCAAACCTTTTTTCTGGCTCAAAGACTGCCAGGAGACTGTACATATGGGGAGGTAGAATAGAGGGAAGAAGCGGACGTAGTGCACGCTGCACCACTGCATTCTGTAAGTTAGGAAGGACGGAATTGCAAGTTCGACTCCGCACGTCCGCATGAAACCTGAGTTGGATATTCTTTTGTGTTCCGAAGAGCCTCTCGAAGCTAATATTAATGAAGGTAGGAATAGAGGAAAGAAAGCGGACGTACATTCTGTTAGCACTGACGGATGATATCGTAGGCAGTTGAACGGGGTTCGACTCCCCGCGTCCGCATTAATGTCTCGTCTCGGCTGTGAATGTTTTTTTCTCTTCTGAATGTGTTCCGGATCGGGTGCAGCGAATGTTCTTGATGTGGATGGTGGTTTGCTTTCGGTTTGGCTGTCGTTCAACTGGGTTTCTGTCATTCTGGGACGCAACTTGGAAAGAGCGAGCAACTTGAATTGAAGCATGTTTGATGGCGGACGCAATGTAGGGGGGAAGATGGAGCTACTCACTCAACGCGCGATGGGTGACAACCCCGCCGTTGCGAAAAACGGTCCCAGGACCGATTAGAGCCGACGGGACCGTGTTAAGACCGAAGCGAGCACGTGGCGTGCCCCGAGCCAAACAAATAGCGGCAAGCCTTAGGGCTGCCACCCGTTGCCGCGACGGCAACGGCCGTCGAAACGACGGGTGAGCAACGGGCACGGCCCGTTGGTTCAACGGCCCGTCGAGGTCAGTTCGAGATCTCTGACGGAACGGCACGGTCAACGGCACGGCCGTTGACGGTAGCACGGCAATTGACGGCACGCAAAATTTCATCGATTTAGAGCTATAAATAGGCTACAACTACCCCAGGACCTCCTGGACTGCGTTGCGAGCGAGGCAAAGCCGTTGCTTGACCATTATCAGTGTTCTGATGGTTTCGGGTTTAAGGCTGGCCCGTCGGAGAGAGATCGTGTCACGGCCGCCTGAAAAAATCCGTTCTACTTACTGCAACCGCCGAGCCTATAAAAAAATAAGAGTTGATATTGCAAGGAATGAGATTGAAGATGCACCAGGAATTGTGAGGATATCACGAGCAAGGCAGAAATGATTCGGAAATTGGGCTTTGCGCGCAACCCACCATTGGACCGGATCACAAAGTTTGAAGTCCTCGTGCGGGAGACTGTAGTACTCCATGAGTTCATCGAGGACATGCCTGTGGACACGGTACCGGGCCGTGAAATCTTTCTGAGGTGAGCTATTATCAAGAGAAGATGACGCAGTCGGTGGAGCCGCCGCAACGTTGGGCTTTCGCGCAGCGTAGTTCGACTTGAAATGGTCCTCGAGAGCATTCTTGGAAAGGTCCAGTTGAAGGAGGAGCGGCTCGTGGTAGTCAAAATCGGACTTGAGCCCGCTGTACGAAATGCGAGGATCGAGGACTGGCAATGCGAGGATAATGCAGGGATAATTCACAGCACCCGTCGAGAGCCGTCGACACGGCCGCGACGGCCGTTTTTCGACGGCTGAAAACGGGTCATACCCGTGCCGTGACCGTGCCGTTGGCCACCAGGAAAAATGACCGACGGAACGGCACGGGTACCCGTTGAACGGGTGCCGTCGAGCCGTGGCGACGGCAACGGGCGGCAGCCCTAGCAAGCCTCACCTGCCTCAAGCCCGCACCATCCCCGCTCCACGCTTCTGGCTCCACACGCAATCGACGCGTAGATGGGACGACTGAGGGCGATGGAAACTCAGAGCACCTACTCCGGCGAGAAATCAGAGCAGGGAGGAGGTAAGTAGTCGAGGAACCGCAGGACGAGCTGCACTCATTCACGCTCTGTGCAGGATGTGCAAGAGCGGTGTGTGCCCAGGCTATCTCCCAGCTATTTTCACAAACATACACGCCGGCCTTCCCTCTCCGTGCAGAAGACACGCTGCGCTCAATCTCTCAATCTCGGTGCAAGGGTGCAGGTGAGTTTTGTCCCTTCCTTCCGCCGTTTCCGGGCATCTGAAAAGCCTCCGACTGACCCATTTCTCCCATGGGGGCAGATGTTTTCGCTGAGACCAACGTGACCCTTCGCCGTTCAACGGAGACCCCCGTGACCGTGGGACGCGAATAAGAGCGCCGACTTAAATAGCAACCCGCAATGTCATTTTTCTTCCAACCTCCCTCTTTCGTTTTTCCTCTCGCAGCACAGGGAGTGACAAGATGGATAACGACCCCACCTGCCCGCACCCGCCCCACTCTGCCCCTCTGCAGCTGAACTCGGCGTACTCAACACACACCGGCAGCGACGAGCACACGCGAGCGAATCTACGTGCCCTGAGGCTCGCGGCGGTCGGGCGCCAGGCGCAAGTCACGATGTTGACCATGCACCTGCAAAACGAGCGCGAGGACGGGGAGCGCGCGCGCGCCGAAACGAAGGAGATGCAGGTGCAGCTCGCCGCGCTGCAGGAGAAGTATGAACGGGCACAGAGGTGGTGCGCGGTTAATCACAAGGTGCATTAACGTCCTGCCTTCCTTCTTTTCCTCTTTAACCGATATATGGCGGTGTAGCGCAAGAACGAGGAGAACGCCGCCGATGGTGGGGCGGACTCGAGCCCGAGCCGCAACCCTGAGCAGGCGGGTACGAGCACGCTCCGCAACTCGAGCCCGGACCCCAAGCGTCCCGTTCTCCCTGGAGGGCATGCCCAAGTCGATAGGGACCCCCGGAAGGTGCGCCTCATCCTCGCTGTGAGGATATTGGGAGCTGATAGTGTTTATGGATGCAGCGTATCAAGCTCAATTCGGTGGCGGTGGCGGCGGCGGGGCCGCGGAGTGCGCCCGCCGCCAACCACGCGAAGTGAGTTTGTGGCTTCGAGAGACTACATGCGGCTGCGCGGAATGACGTTTCGATGCGCGCGGGCGTCCCATTTGAAGAACAAATGTAGAATGCGAGGGAAGAATGGGTGGTTCGACGGTTGATTGAATAAGCGACTGATAATCGATAGAAATTTTCAAAATTTCGAATGTGTGCCTGAGTGCTCCTCCGCCTATTGGTGTGGTTAAGCCACTCCCACGTACCGAAAACCTAACAGCTGAAACCGGAGAACAATTATTTTCACTGAGAAACGTAAATGACTTTGTCTGTTGAGAAATTTATCCCTTTCGCGCCCCAAGGACAGATGGATGGAGGGGGACCGTGGGATACGGGTTTTTCATTTGACCAGAGCCTTAGTCCTCAGGGAGGAAATTTAGTGAGAAGCTCTGGAAGTTGGAGCGGGTTGCACACAGGCCTTTTGAACGACTCGCCGCGTCCGCGTACTTCAATCTACATTAACCGTTCTTTTATTCGGCACGGCGCAAAGCCTCGATATATCGAGGTGAGAAATAGAGCCAGGAAGCGGACGTAGTGCACGGTGCACTGCTGTCAATGTTAACTCTGATCGCAAATTGAACTACAAGCAGTTGGACGGGGTTCGACCCTCCGCGCCCGCCTTTCCTTCAAGGCTTCAGCTCCGTTTTTGTCACATAAAATGTCTCAGAACTGGAATATATCTTAGAGGACAGGAGGATTAAGAAGGGACGAAAGAAGCGGACGTGGTGCACGGCGCACCGCTGCATTCTATGAGCGAGCGGACTTCTTCATTGCAAGCAGTTGAGCGGGGTTCGACTCCCCGCGTCCGCTTTCGTTATGAGATCTGTATCTTTCTCAGAAAGATTAATTTTATTCCCGAGGGCGAATCAAAGTTTGCATTTATCGAGGTGAAGAATAGGGAAAAGAAGCGGAAGTGGTGGACGATGCACCGCTGCCTTCACCTCAGAAGTCGGTGGAACGTGATTTGGAAGCAGCCAGACGGAGTTTGACTCCGCGCATCGGCTTTCTGAGCGGCTGTTCTTGCATCTTTTTATCTGGAACGGGCCAAAATACCTGCATATATGGAGAGGTGGAATGGCGGGAGTACGCGGACATGGTGCACGGCGCACAATTGCCTTGACCTTTGAGCAGCTCAACGGGGTTCGACTCCCCACGTCCGCCTCAGCGATCAGACCTTCATCTTTTTCATCTCAGCAAGATGGTATGATTCCCGAAAGCGTGGCAAAGGTTGCATTTATTTATCCCGTGGAATAATTAACTCAAGGGGTACTCGGCACCGAAATTGAATTAATTGGAGCGGTCGGATGGGAATCGGGATCGGACTCGATGGGCAAGAAGAGAAGCAGCAGCAGCGCGAGGAGATCGAGAGCGAGTGCGAAGTACATCTGGGCACGGACGAAGAGAAAGAGACTAGTTTCTGACGGGAAATCAGTAAAAGCACCGCGAGAGCTGGGGAGGAGCTACCAATTGCGGAGAACAAGAGATTCAGAAGCAGCCTGCGAACTATCGTAAGAACAGTGCGTTTCATCCGCACGCGTTGGTCGGCGGAAGCGGCAGCAGAAGGCGCGAGCGCTGTAATGAATCTGAGTATGGGAACACGGCGCGATGCGCTGGCGCGCTGCGTACCTTGGATGCAACGCCGGAGATCCTGGTCGGAGTCGATCCACAGCTCACGCCGGCACTCGGGGTGCAGCGTGTATAGCCGGGCGACTTGTTGCGCGCAGATGTGCAGCAGCGCCTGCGTATCCCGCGCGGACAACGGCGGCGCGACGGGGAGCTCTGCAGGGTCGAATTGCATTATCTCCCGCGTATAACGGAGCTGCGAGATTTTTTATTTACGTGTTGCGGCGAGGTCGCAAAGTAAAGGCGACGTACGCAAATGAGTGCGATGGCGGGATCTCCCCGCGCGGCAAGTATGGCGGTGTAAACACCGGTAATAGGTAGCCTCAGCTGGTCTGCGGTGGCGGTCTCTGGCTCGACATACGACAGATGGCTCACAATAGGCCCCCACGATTTCGCCGTATCAGCGTCCCGCTGTTCCAGAAGTACACGCTCGAGATTGGATATCCTGGTGGCAACGTCGGAGCCCGTATCTGCTGCCATGGTCGTTTGCCAAAGCTCTCCAAAATGAGCCGCCATCTGGGTCCTATATATGATGTCGTTCAGTCGATGAGACCAGCAGCTTGAACTCGACAGCCTGATGCCGCCACTGATACGACGCGTTCTTCCTCTCCTTCCGAGTCGTATTCATCGTGCTCGGGTGTACTAGAGAGAGAATTGACTGAGACGGTAAAGACACCGTTTGCGGACTGTGTAATCTCGAGGGAGGGCATTTGGGAGACACCAGATGTGACTGCGTGACGACATGACGTGACTCGGACGTCGCTCTTCCCAAATTCCAAAAATCCAGGCAACATCCAGATCGTATTTAATATTCACCTTCCACAGGCCAACGACTGCAGACTGCATGCCGAGCGGCGGAACAACAGATGCAGAACGAGATCCCCCGCTCACAAACCCCGCACCCAGCACACAGCGAAGACGATACGTGCACGGCACTACGCGAACTGCAGCTCGCCGCCGTCGATCGCGACTCGCAGGCGCAGGTCGCGCGGCTGACTGTGCACCTGCAGCATGCGCTAGAACACACAGGGCGCGCGCGCGCGCGGAACCAAAAGCGGTGGAGGTGCATACCACCGGGCGAAGGGGTAGTGGGTTCATTTTAAGATGGACCGTAAGGTGCGCCCGCCGCACGCCCTGCCTTCGTCCGTTGATGTATGGGGTATATTAATCCTGTAGCGGAAGAACGACTCGGAGTGCGGTGCGGGCGAAGAGCACGATTCGAACCCCAGCCGCAGCCCCGAGCAGGCATGCCCCAGCGATTCGATCCCGGCGCAGGCTGATAGGGACCCGCGGAAGGTGCGACCTTGTGTACTATGCTTGTGTATGGAAGATGTTGACGGTGGTTATGTATGCAGCGCATCAAGCTGGACTCTACGACGGCGAGCGCATCACTCTCAAGTGCCCCGCCCTCCACTGCAGCACCCCCGCGTCCCGTCCCCACCCCACTCCTCCCCTCGCGTCCCAGGGAGCTCTCCGTGCCCCCCAATGCGCAGGCAGCGCACGGACACAGGGCGGCGGTGACGCCGATGTCGACCCTGAAGCCCACGCAGGAGCGTAGGGTGCGTTCTAGTCATCGTCCTCCTTTCGTATCGCTCCTCCCCTCCCTTCGCGTTTTTCTCGCCCGTTTTCTCTTCCTTGCGCATCGCATCTCGCCCACGCCATCCTCCCCTCCACGGCTCTTCTCTCTCCTTCGTGATATTTTTTCTCACTTTTCCTTCGTCCACTCGCTCCCGTCCCGTCTCCCCTCCCTCCCTTCGGCGCGTTCAAGTCGCAGACGTTCCAGCTCCAACGCCCCAGCCCCTCCACGGGCGAGCACCGAAGCCCCATTCTGAAGGGCAGCGGTGATAACAGGTGGCTGCGCCTGGCCCTCGCCTAGCGAGGTCCTTCACTTTGGAGTAAGTACCAAAGTAGTGGAAGTGGAAGTGAGTTAGTGGAAGTGGAAGTGGGCTAATGGAAGTGGAAGTGCCTACCAGTGGAAGTGGAGGTGCGGCATCATTGTGACGGGGTAGGCGACTGATGCGCCCGGCGCTATCTCACAGGTGCAGATTTCTACTGTTCTCTGCCACTGACTATTTCCTTCCTTCACATTTAACCAGTCCCGCCTCCCTCCGGCTTTCTACACCTGAAATGCACGGTGCCACCCCGCCGTGGATTACTATGATGCCGCGGCCATCCAGGACGAGGACAATGAACATCTTTAGACCGAAAGTAATCAAGTCAAGTGCACCACACACACGGTATATTGCCATTCGCTGTCTACCCTCGAGCTTCCGCAAAGGCCTGTCCCTCGGGATGCCACTGAGATGCTTTCAGAAGCACCAGCTGCTTAGCAAATAAAGGTTTTCACCGCTGCCTTCATTCCGGACTCGGAGGGATGCACATGCCTCCAAGTGAGAGATCAGGAGGCGGGCGGGATGCTTAACAGACACCAGTGGAAGTGGAAGCGGTGGGCGTGATCTCACTTCCACTGAACTTCGTTAATAGAAGTGGAAGTCGTGTCAGTAGAAGTGGACGCCACTTCCACTTCTACTACTTCGGTCATTCCTCCCGGTGTATGTTCTTCGATTTGTATTGAATTTTTCTATTTGTACGATACATATATGGAGGTGTACGATACGTGCACATGTAGTTGTATCGCGAGGGGTGGCATAGAGGTAGTAGTATGATAATGTGTTGGTTTGGAGGGAGAGGTAGAGGGGAAATAATGTAAGGCAAGTCGCATTCAGGAAACGGGGTCCGAATGAACTGGAACTTCAAGCTTGAACGTGGAGGTCTGGGTACCGGTGCAGGCTTTCGACTCGGAGTTCTCTGCGATCCTGCTTGGTCAAAATCAACCTCTGAATCTAACCTCTAAATCAGATTCAGCACCGCGAGGAGGAAGGTGGAAAGCAATTCCGACGCATTTGAGGACTCGGAAGCTCGGAAGCTCGGATAATAAATATATTTGAGCTGGGGAAGGCGGATATTTGAGTGGACGAACGCAGTATAACTTAAGCCTCCCTGCGAGTCGTGGGGGCGTTGATTTCTCTGTGTGAGGTTTCCATGGCCAGCCACCAGGTTATATTAATATTGAGGTGCAGAACACAGGAAGTAAGTGAACGTGGGGCACGGCGCACCACTGCCCTGAATTAAATGCCTTTCCTCTTACGGGTTCGACTCCCCGCGTCCGCATTCCTGAAGACTGATACCCATTTTTATTCCGAAGAGTGTTTAACATGCCGGGGACATTGAGCGCAGTAATAGAGGAAATCAGTGGACGTAGTGCGCGGCGCACCTACTGCACTCTGTAATATCGAATGCAGTTATATATAAGCAATCCGTAACGTGGGCATGCCGGTCCCGTAGGCGTCAAGTGGAAGATGGAAAGAAGAAGGGACAGACTGGCGGATAACCGTCGCGCTCCGGGGGAACGAGCGGCGGGTCGTCTCCCACGGCACTACCAAGATGCCGGCAGGGGCTCTCGATTCGGGAGCTTGCGCTCACTCTGCAATGACAGAAACATCCATAGTGGCTAAGTGCTAATTCGATCGTGTGCCGCACGATGATCGAGGATCTATCTATCTTTGTTGAATCAAATATGGAGAAGGCTGCCGCCGACATATCAAGGCCGACTACCCGCCGGCATGGCCTGGGCTGTTTCGGGAAGAAGCCGCCGAGAAAGCTATGCATTGTTGACAGAGAACACGAATCACCAAGGTTAGTTCGCCTTGGAGTTTCATTTAACCAGGTGCACTCGTCTACCATACTTTCCCGCTCCAAGTGAATGGCATTGACAGGAATTTGAAAAATGTACGGTTGCGCTCCCAAAATATAGCAATAACGGCAAGAAGCGGTCCTTGAGTTGAATCAATTTACCAAATTCTAGGTTTTATTTCTGGAGAGCCGCCCCGCTGAGCACAGCGGTTGAGTTAATCGAAAAAGGAGAACCGGACGTGGAACCTCACTGCGTCACCTTCGGAAGTTGGTTTCATTGGAGCATTGATACTCAAGGTGATTGGAGAACGATAGTTTCAACCGCGAAGTTGAATCAATAACCACGCGATCGTTCAAGCTTTGCACTACTAACCCCACAGTTTTGTGGCGCTGGTCCTTCCTCCGCCATTGAGGGACTCATCAATGTTAAATGTGATCTCGTTAAAAGGTGAAATGAACGGAGTCCCCGCAATCTGGCGGGTGGGTGGTTAAAC